TTAAATCATTAGAACATTTGATCATTTGGGGTATATTTTCCTATAATTTTTTTAATTAGTCTCTTGAAGGAAAACAGCTGACACTAATCTCATAGTAAAAGAAATAGATTGGGTGAGACTTTCAGATGATTAGTAGAAAATACTCAGATAGTTGTGCTCAGAATAGTCAATGTATTGGAATACAATTTATATAACCTAACAGTAACCAACATATGCACATTTTCCCTTTGGAAATGTCCTTTATAAAAAAGGCATCTATTAAACATGAAATGATCTGTGAGCCCACAGAAGAGTTTTTGTGGGAAGAATTAAAATGTTTATAATTCTCATGTATTATTTTACAATAAGCAAAACAGGGGAGGGGACTCTGTTGTTTTCTCATGATTTAAAGAAGACACTGAGGGAGAAGCAGCTGGAATCTGTCAAGCAGCAAGACCTTTGGAAAGAAACAGAACCTGAAAATTTGAAACAAAATGTTCAAGTGGAAAAGTTATAAATTGTTACAAAAAGCTTGTCTTGTGCACAAAAGTCCATTTTACTGAACTTTCCAAGTGTGTAATTCACATTTGTAAAGCATAGAAAAGTATTCAGATTGGGGCATTTGCAGGAATAGATTCTTTAAATTCTGAGACTTGTTTAGATATAAAGTAAAGAGGAAATTTTATGTTATGACAGTGTGTCTCTTTTGTTAAACAGTTATTTAATATATCATATTTTGAGCTGACCTTGTGAATAGTGGAACGCTTCATGGCTATGACACTATGTTCATTTATCAGAGGTGAGGTTTCTAATCTAGAGGATGACATTGCAGAAAATTAATCAATTGTTTCTTCTTGTGCTGTTGGAATAATATTATTGTCTTAAATTATTGTCTTATAAAATATTTAGCTTATTTTGAACTTCACAAATTTACCAGTAAGTCAGAAATTCATAAAACTTTCATATCACCCTAGGAAACCAAACTCAGTAATAAAGGAAAAAGTCTTAGGTAAGTTAGCAATTAGCATCAAAAATAAAGGCATGTAATTCATAAAAATATTTGTACTTTTGCCCCTTTGTAATATAGGAAATTAATATGACATGTTTATCCATGACACATGCCCAGAATCCAAAATCCTGTGCTGGAGAGGCTTAAGGTATTCCAGGTACTTCCCTTGTGTCTGCAAACGGGCACACAATGGCTGACATCATCCCCTGAAGGAAAGTAGGTGATAGGGATGAGTGCCAGCCAATCTTCTTATTTTCTTTGTTGTTACCCAATTTTATCTTGGGTCACACACACACACACACAAAAAAAAAAAAGGTAGAGGGAAGAAGGAAAAGAAAACAAAAGGAAAGAAATTGCTTCCTACATGGTTTATAAAGATGAGCCAGGAAGAACAATCTCAGAGTTTTCTAGATTCATTGTTCCCTTGAATATAGTAATACAGACCCACAATGCAGCCATGAAACACTAGGGTCTCAGTGTTTTCAAATTTAAAACTTTGTAGGTTTTAGATGATGGTCATGGTATTCCTTTATACCCTGGGTGGGACCCCTGCGCTATGATCTAACACTCCTCTGAAAGGTGGATATTCACTTCAAGTAGGAGAGAGAAGGGCTAATCATTGTCACCAAATAAGTTAAAAACAGTATGTTTCTTAGAACTTTTAAGATTTTTACTTATAAAATCCCTCTCCTGGAGAAACTTTACCTTCACAATATGCTAATAAAACATGGAAGAGTTAAGATGACTCTACCTTCTTATTCCCGTTTGTGAATTTCAGGTCCATGTTTTATGTTGCTCTGGGATAACATTCTGGGTTTAGTGCTTTATTGGTTTCCCACCATTGCAGGTCAAAACCACTGGTTTTGGTAAGAATTCTTCCACGTTAAGCATATTCTGTTGTGTGATATTTGCCCTATAAATTATGGGCTTCTTGTTTGACTGGCGAGGACTCTCCTGAAAGGCAAACTCTCTTTTTATGTAAAGGAAAACAGGCCTTGGGAATTTTGCTAAACCTGCCAAATTTAAATTTCGCTTTTTGCATTTCACGGTGTCTTGGTTAAATTTGTCATTGCTGTTCATTTATGGAAATTCCCTATTGGATGAATTACTAGAAATCTTTGTTTTCTGAGGTAGATCATTCAAACTTGCCATGTTTCCTGAGCATGTAGCAAAGGGGCACAGCATCTCAAAAACCCCCTAAATTAGAGATCACCTGGTGTTGAGGGATCACCTTTTGCTGGCAACACTAAACACACTGCCTAAAAGTTTTTCACAATGTCTGGTTAATAGTCAAAATATGAAGATTTGCATTTTAGAGTCAGTTTAGCAAGTAACTCTCTAAGAGATGACATTTTCTTTTTCTAAAAATGAAGCATGGCCACTGTTGGAGCATGAACTTTTCAGAAGTTGGCGTTTATCAGGTTAACTGAATTTGCAAGAAACGTCCATGTGGAGGACACAGTGGGGAGGAGCTGGAGACTTTTAGCACATTTGTTAGGTTATAGCTTCCCAGGTCTCTACAAGTAGAGTGACCAGGGCTTCCATTAGGGCAGCTCTCTGACTTGTGTGGCCAGATCACTTGATAGGACCGGCCATCTCTAAATTATTGCAGATGTTTACAGACAGCAGAAAGGCAATAGAACATTTCTACAGAGTTGTCCTTTGGGAAGGATTATGAGTCCTGGATCCTTTCCAGAATGTAATGGATTTGGACGGGCTTCACGCCTTGGTGATTTCTCGTTCTATTTTTGTTTGTAACCTTGCCCTGGGGTTAGAGAACTATGGCAAGCTCCAGCAAGGAAGTCAAACCTGTGAGTGCCATCAGGAAACCTTGTTTGCCAACAAACTAGTGTTCGGTGGGTAAGATGAGCCCTTCCTTCTTTACTTACTTCCTTCCCCAAATATACTTTAGATGTGAGTAACCCAAACTCAAGTTTCAGCTGGGCAAATTAGCTACTAATTTTGACAGTTTCATCTCATAAATGTGCCTTTTGATATTTAAGGTGTTACTCTGGGCACTGGTAGATCAATGGATGGAATCCCTGTTTTCAGGGCATTTATAGTTAGAGGAGGTAAGACCTGGAAACTCATTAAATTCTTTGCAGACTCTCAAGTGTTTGGTGGGCTGAATCTTGCTTCATCTATGCCTAAAGATTGCCTAGAGAGCATGTGAGTAGAATTGAATTCCCTGATAGGGAATTAAATGTCCTGGTACACCAGGACTGACCTGTGTGAAAGCCTGTGGTGGATGCTGACCCCTGCCTGTGGGTACACATGAACCCTAACAGCCTGGCATCAGAAGTCCCACAGTTCATTGCCTGCCCTGCCTTTCAGCTTGTCCCCTGCCCACCCCACCCCCACACCACCCATTTCTGTTGATCTCCAGTTCCAGTGGCTGCCCACCCTGACTCTCCTGTATTCCACTATGAAGAACAATGACTTTCCTAGCCTTTTCTTGCTTCCCCAAAGCCTGCCTGTAACCAGAGCCCACAGAGGCCTTTCTTTCCTCTCAACCTTTGAATTTGTAGTTTGCATTGATAAGATCAAACACTGCCTATGTGGTCAGTGAGCTTTGATTTGCCCTCTTTCCTCCCTCGCTAAACTGTGAGCACTAAATTGTGAGTACTGTGCTTTGTCCTGTTTTTAATAGCCTTTACAATACTTTCGTACAGAAAAGGACTCCCTAACTTATGGGTTATTAGTGAATAAATCCTTGCCTCACCACTTAGATGGTAATGGTTCCCGTACTTGGTTGAGATTCAGACAATAACAATATGAACTCTCCCTACTGGTTGGTTGTTCAGAGCCAGGATTGACAAATAGTTCCTTAATCCACTTGAACAGTGCTCTCTCTGGGGCCGCTAAGCTGTCATTCATCATCCATGTGTTTATCACTCACTAAATGAACTTAAAGTATTAGGATGGTTTTGCCCTGTGACAGTTGGTATCCAAAGGGTAGCTGCTGATTTCATTGCTATTGGCAGCATTTCCTGCCTGGTGGAAACTCCTGGAAGGAGACATTCCCCCATTTAGCACCAAGAGTGTTGGGGTGTTTGCTCTTGCAACACCGCTGGAGCCCCCTATCTGTGACTTCAGTGTTCCTTCCTGAGCTCATTTCTTTTTAGGTATAAATGCCCAAGGGCCTTGTGGCCAGTGTTCACTTTGCATTGTATGAGTAGCCTGGCAACTGCTGTCCTAGCCTGGACAGAACTGGGGGTCCAGGCAGGACTCTATGGAGTGAGCTTCTGTTCTGCCAGCAGGACTGTCAGGCACTTTGTTCAGCCAGTATAAGGGAAACGCCCTCCACATGCCAGAATCATCCCAGGGTGGTGCCACTAATTGCCTCTGGAGACAGAGATTGGGCACAAACACCCAGCAGTCCTGGCCCAGTGGGAAAGAAGGCTGTGCACAGTGTCCTGGGAGGCATCAAGCCTTGGAAGAACACCAAATCTGAGAACCCTGTAGTCTGGGGGGGCGAAAAAGTATCCTATAATCCACTTCACATTTTCAAACTTATTTCCTGGCCTCATCAAAAGCTAGTTATTTGTTTGTCATGTTTCAGAAAACAGCCTCCAACATGTGGTCAGTCTAAGCAGAGACAACAGACATTGTATGTTAGTGAGGCAAAAAGACTCAAGGAGAAAGCAGTGAGGTTTTCCTTTCTTGGCGTGCCTTACCTTGGGGTTCTGGGGAGCTGGTCTTGGGATCCTCCCCCATGGGGACACCGGTGACCTTTTGCTCTCCAGCTTCCTGCTGCTGGGGGTGGGGAGTTGGGCCTGTACCCCTCTGTGTGCAGGGCCCTCAGGGAGTCTGGCCTGCCCTGCTCTCTGGGCCAGAGAGAAGGCCCACCCTGCCTGTTGTGTGTCCTGAATTAAATAATTACGTTGAAGAAAAGCACCCTTTGCTCCCACCACTTTTCATTAAAAGGGAACAGATGTGGGGGCCCGATGCGGTGGTATCCTTGGAGGGTGAGAGCGTTTCCTGGCATTTTCTGTCTTCCCCTCTCTTTCAGCAATGAAGTGGTGAGGAGTGACTTGAAGAAACTGCCAGCGCTTCCCACCCAGGCCCTGAAGGAGCACCCTTCCCTGGCCTACTGGTGAGTGGTGCCCGGAGCCTGCCCTTCCCCATGTGCCAGGGGCTCAGGGGACCAGTCTCACCTTCACTGGACCCCAATCAGAGAGCCACCCCAAATTGTGTTAAGTGACTTGGGACTTCATGAAACCGTTTGCTGCCTTTATTTAAATGGTGCGGTATGTGTGAGATCCCTCCTTTTTCTCATTTTCCTTATTTAAAAAAAAACCTTCTAAAATTTCACTTTGGAAGCTTTGCCTCCTTGGCGATCTTTTCATGTGCTGCTCAAGTTTCGTTTTGGAATCCTTGTCATTTGATGACAGGATGTGTGAGGTTTTGAGATGTGGGAGAACTACAGGTTTTTTTTTTTTCTGTAAAGAGGAGATTGATTCTTTTATTTTCCCACAGTGTTTTGCATTTCCTGATTTAGCAGCCTTGTAACATTATGCCGTAGTTCATCTGTCGGGCCCTAAATTACTGATTCTGAATGAATCGGGCATTTGAGAGGTTCCCAGATTGTGGTTTTGATCACAACAGCATGGGACTTGCGTTCCTGGGAAGTTGAAATCCTGCTGGACCGGTCAGTGCCCCCAGCACCCCGGAAACCACAGTGCTATCTCCCTAATAGCTTCTCTGACTGCTTAGCAGTCATGCTCTTATAAAACAGAAAAAAGGCTAGAATCATAGATCAAGCAGATCCTGATCAACTGTAACATATTGTTAGCACCTCTGTAATAGGTTTTACAAAATGCCTGGATGACTGACATTTCACTTTGCCTGACTCTTCTTAGTCAGCAGGCTAGTGGCTCAGCCCTTGGGTGGCCAGGAGGTTTCTTCAGCTTGGGCGGGGCGTGTCTCGATGCCAAAGTCATGTGGGGACTAAACTCTGGTCCACAAGTCACTTTTCCCCAGGTGATCTTGGTGGTAGAGCTCCCATGGCTGGGAGTGCCTTTAGTGTACTGTTGTCCCTAATTTTATCCCCCTAAACTCTTTCGTTGCCACTCTTAGTAACACAGATGTCAATAAATTAGTGGCTTTTATCATTATAATCTGGTCTCAAAGAACAGAATCTGTTGAACCTGCATGTGTCAAACTCCAAATTTCCAGCCTGACTCTCTGCACCCATGAACATAGGCAAGTGACATTCCTGCTTCCTCATTCACAGAACCCTATCACCTCCTCCCTAATTCCTAATGCCCCCTGGGATTTATATTCCATATCCTCCAAGCCATTCATTTCAGGAAACCAACAGTGGAGAAATAGACATGCAAGAGGATAGCTCTAGAATCCAGTACTTCCTCGCTGAGTTTGCTTCCTTCATGCTCACACTTTCTCTTCTGTCAGGATAAACATCATCTTCATCCACATCTACTGCTCTCTCACCAGAACATCCTATATCTGTGACCAGGCCAGCACATTCCTCGGCCTATTGTAGACCCACAGGCCTCCAAGCCACTGTGCAAATGCACTGGGAAGATGGCAGGACCAAGGGAGGGATGTTTTCAAAGCAGCTGCCTCAAGCTCCACAGACTAGTGTATATACAAACAAGCCAGCAGCATGGACATCTTGCTAGAGCATTGCTTTTAAAAAATAGACCGGCTTTTTAGCTTGCTTCATTATGCTTGTCTACTGTGGTTGGCTTTGTATTGCAATTTATTTACTTAGATTTTCAGAAAACAAAATGTCAGGAAAGAGATAAATGCTGTTGTGCACCTATAGATGACAGAAAGGAGAGAGTGGGCACCCACAAAGCATGTTCATGCTCTTCCCTCTCTGATGAGCAACATCACTCACCACTAGATGAGCATCATCTTTTCTTGGTGAAGACCCTTTCCTGCTCCTCACATCTCAGCCACAAATTGCCCCAATGATTCCTGAAGGGAGGACCCGCTGTCCTTGGGCATGCCTCTTGTTGGCATCCACAGATAGGATGGCGACCGTCAGGTCAAAAAAAGACACAGGGAGCCCCTCCACATGAGTGGGGGGTATCACAGGCCCATGCGTGCAGCAGTGGGCTGTAGAATCCAGCCAAGTCTTCAACTGTGAGGTAATGAGAGTCTGGGACACTTGAGTTGCTTCCTGCTGCCTCACTTTCCCCAACTGTAAAATGAATGAACCGCACTGAACTAATTCAGACTGTAATTAACAGAGGAAATAGAAAGTTTCACGATGCAGTTAGAACATAGTGAAAGGTGCATAATAATGCTGAGTAATCATGCAATCATTCCTTCTGCTAATTTTCCCCAAGTGTTTAGCAAGCTCAGACTCCTCACGCCTTGTGATTTCCCATCGGTGAGGCTGCTGAGGCAGGAAGTTAGAAGATGTGCCCACAGCCACAGAACCAGACAGAGGCCTGACCTGGATTCCTTCTCAAGCCTGGCTTGCAAATGCTGGACTACCCGTTCCACCCATATGGGGTGTGCTGGGATACCCCCTCCCCTAGCCCAGAGTTACTGTCCTTCAAGACAGGGGACCATATCGCCATCCCCTTGTTCCCTATGCATTTCCCGTGACTTTCCTGGGCCCCTTGTCTGCAGAGAGATAATTCAGCTTCACTATGTTGTCAGAGCATGGTCAGCTTTAGTCGCTGTCTTTTTCTTTCAAAGAACTGTGTGTCCTCCAAATAATGTTTTAGGATTCCCTTTACTCAGGCTCATGGGTTTCTAATGGCTATGCCATTGAGTCCCTGCCATAAATTTGAGTAAATATGGAAACTGTCTGCAAAGTTTGGTGCACGGGAGCCATCTGTAAATTCCGGATATGGGGTGGGAGCAGGTTAAGAGCAAAATGACTTGGTTCTCAGTCCAATGAGTGTTATCACATGTGGGGCCCCTGGTGTTTAAATTGGGGCAGAAGGAGTAGGACAGGCTGTGGCAGGAGAAGGTAGATTTCCTGGCCTCAGAGATGGCCTCAGACAGCACTAGCAGGGCTCGCAGATGCCTGCAGCTGTCGGGGGAGATGAGTCCCAGTGGTTGGGCTATGTAGTCAGGAAACCACTGAACAGCTGCCTGATAGTATTTTTTGACACTCACTGTTGTTTTTCCTGAGCCTAATTTGTGTTCACGGCTCCAGCACTATGTCATCATCTCCCCACCCCAGAGACTCAGAGGCTCTTTCTCCCAGAGCAGACCTCCCAAAATTCTAGCTCATGTGGAAGGAAACATACCAACCAGCCATTGCTTTAGTGGATGTGTGTGGAGGAAGCGAGAACAATCCTGGACACAAATCTGAAAGACTGGAGAGGCCGGTGTCCACCCCAGAGAAGGCTCTCCTGGGGAACTCTGTCAGGAGAGGACTTTGTCACACTCAAAGCAGAACTTCCATAGTGTGTAGGAGCTGAGAACTTTAGCTAATCTACCCTTTCCTGAACATTCCACTGAGAAGTGATACTACGAGTGGCCTCTTGTAATGAGCCAGCATCCCCTCCTCTCCCCACCCCATTCTGGAAACTTGTAAAGACACTTTCTTGCGATGAATCAGATGATCTTAAATGCACACAATTTCAGAATACTGAAATGAAGAGATACTCACTGAGGAGGAACAAAGCAATTGGCAGATCCATAAATGATCCCCAATTAGTAGGAAATGAGCTTGTAGACCATGTTATATCCCCTGCGCACAAATAGCCTAACTAACAAAGAATATGTAAGTGAAAGAAGGCTCTGGATCAATTCTGGAAGAAGAATAATAACTAAGAGGATCTCAACCAAGGAGGACTTGAGGGCCATCCCAAGATCATCTCCTGCTATGGAACCCACTGGTCTATGTGAGGAAAGTAGGGAGGGGACAGAAGAGTGAGAAATAGGTTCCAAGGTGGCATGACCAGGTCAGAAGGCAAGGCCTTTGGACTTGACTCTTGAGCTGGTGGGGCATGAGGCCCTCTGTCTGCAGCTGCTTTCCCTGCCATCCCCAAGGTTGCCTCTATGCTTCCTCTTCATTTTTCTCATTCTGTGTCCCTCCCAACTGAGGAACTGCTTGCTGCTTATTTTCCTTCTTCCCCAATATCATTTCTTGAATGGGGCCAACACCATGGGCTCTCATCGTGTCACTGATTATATGTCCAGGATAATGGGAAAGCAAAGCTTCTGAGTGGGAAGCACATTTGTTTTTTCAGTAAATCTATAGCCCGAGGATCTCACTTAGACTGAGTTTTGGAATTCCCTCTCAGGAAAAATCATTTTTCCAGGAACTGTTGGCCCCTGGGAGCCTTACATGAGGTTGCTCAGGCTCAGGAGAAGCACTTTCTGCTGGCAGGGTGCTGGGCAGTTGTAATAAGAGTCTTTTTCTTCTCAATCTAGTGAAGACCGAGTAATTGAACACTACAAGAAACTGAATGGCCAGACCAGAGGTCAAGCAATTGTCAAGTAAGTGACCCCTCTTAGAGCCCCTGAGGTTGTGGTTGTGCGTGTTTACATCGCACATGTCAAGATGGATCGGTTCTGCTCAGAAAGACATGTCTCCTGGGGGTGATGGTTCAATAAATAAACATTCTGGAAACATTATCTCACACGCACACAAATGGGATATGATTCTAGTTCCACCAAATAACCACTCTTGTGTGTCTGTGTGTTGTCTTCCCAGCTACATGAGTATCGTGGAGTCTCTTCCAACCTATGGGGTTCACTATTACGCAGTGAAGGTAAGTGAGCTCAGTTGGTGAAGATTGCCAAGCATGCCCTAAAAAACCAAACCAGACAAAACCACATCTCGTTTTTTTTCTTTTTAATTTTACTGAAGATTTGGGGGGTTGGGGTGAGGTTGGAAGACTTCGTAGGGAGGACTTGATGCTGCAGAGAGTTGAGACAATGGAACTTTACCCCTGGTGTAGTGAGACTTGATCCATTTCCTCTCCATACCTCACTTTCCCTTTAGTGAAATGGATAAAATCAGTTGCTACTTCCTCTGTTCTCTGAAGAATCCTGAGATGAGGACTCCTGAGTCTCTCTAAGTATAAAGATTGCATCTAAATACTGTAGAGAACAAAAACTTAAAGCAGAATTGATGTTTTTCATGGTGGCCAAGTGCCACAGAGGCAACTTTAGAAAAGAAAAACCGAGTAGCTGACAACTTGAGTCCAAGGGCATGGAAGAAGTCAGGACAGTCCTCTTAAATGCTCTGATGGCAGTTCACTGTGACATGGGCCCCTTTCTAAGTTCTCATCCACTTACCATAAACGCCAAACTAGGATCTCTGCTTTGAAATCATAGTCATGCCCCCATGTAACCTCTTCTATGATGAGAAAAGAGAACTTCCCTTCCTTCCTTAGTTTACCCAACATGAAAAGTTTAAGTCGCTGCCCAAAAGAGCAGAAAACACTTCTAAACTTAAGGCAGTTCTACCAGCCAACCAGAGTCTCTTGCTTTCCCATCAGTTTCTGTCCCCATGTTTCCACCCAACTATATTTTTAATTTCTCTAGACTACAACATAGGCATGTTTCACTCATCTTTGTGTCATTCCTGGCAGCCTGCCTAACACTTGGCATGTCGCTAGTGTATAGTTAATTGCCTGTATCTTCTGCTAAACTTCAGTCTTCATGGCAAACACCATGTGTTATATTTTGTTAAATATTTTTGGAACCCAGCATGGTGCCTGGCACATAGTAGATGGTCAGTAAATATTTACCCAGTAAATGTTCACGGAGAATTGAATTGAGTAGTTGGATGTATGCATTTTCATAATGGAAACAAGTACTAGAACTACATTTGCAGATCCCAGTTATGGGCACTCTGGTCTCACCCAGCACCTCAATTCAGGATTTTTTAAAGCCTGTAGTGGTTGAATTCTTCTTGATGTCTTATTAAAGCTCTTCCCACTGAAGAAACCTCTAATCCCTTCTTCTCCATCATTCATAGGACTCATAAAACCACCATCCCTGACCTTCTAAAAAACTATACTGTAGTCTGTGATGGGAAGTATGACCTGGTCTTTGGATTGTCTCCTACCTCTTGTGAGTTCTTCCAGGAGACTACCCTTGTGGAAGGCTGTTTCCTGTGATGTGACCACTAAAGTCACAATTCTCCAGGGGAAAACTAGATTGTTCAAAAGCCACTAAACTGCTGCCAGTGCTCAGCAAACTGCAGTCATTTCGGTGTTGCCATCTTGTTACCATAAAGGAAACAAGGACCCCATAGTAGTCCCTGACAGTATTATGAGAAGCATTTCATAATCAAACTGTGAGACTTAACCTCAGTTGTGGAAATATCTTATAGTGATACGTAGCCAAGGAGATCTGTGTTCCCAAAAATAGGAATCTGGGATACTTGTTTCTCCCATTCCCCATACTAAAGTCTTAGCTGTGGGAAGACAATGAGAGGTAGATTTTGGTAGATAATCAGGTTTGCTTGAGATGAGACTTCATTTACTCTTTTACTTGTGTAAACCTATATTGTATTTCTTTCTGGAGCTTGGAAAAAGGTTGCCTCTGATGTATGCTTCTGCCTTCCAGTAACCTTTAGAAATATGTTCTCCTGTCGTTTGTTAGAGACCAGAAGCAAGCTTGTGACTTTCAGAGTGCGAAATGCACTTGGGTGTTTGGCTCTTGGAATTTCTAGGCATAAATAATTGTTCTCCTACTTATTTGGAAAAGGGCACATGAACCACGCAAGCCTGAACCAATCATGACAAGACTCACTGTCTGGGCCTCAGGTTTCCAGGGGTGCTGTATTTTATGGTGCAAGAATGACTGTTCCTGACTCCTTCGGAAGCTGCGGTGTATTGAGTTGCTTCTTGTTCTGTTTTCCAAAATCACTGAACTATAATCCCCCAAAGATGGGGGATTATACCTTTATTTTTTTTTTTAATAATTTTTTTATAGAGGCATGTTTTATTTATTTATTTGTTTGTTTCTTTGTTTGTTTATACATGCACTGGGTACAGTCAGAAGCGCGGGAGGGTGAGAGAATTCACCAGAGCCAGAGTGGGGAGCAGAGAAGGCAGAAGGACCGAAGTACACTGCTGAGGGGAGCAGCGGGCGGCAGGAGATGTCTGCGCGCCATGTGGGACCCTCCTCAGGTGGCCGGGGAGCAGCCGGGGATTGAACCGGCACCGCAGAGGCCGCAGGCAGCTTCGCAACCCAGCGCTCAACCGCTGCGCCACCTGGGAGGCCCGGGATTATACCTTTAAAAGAAGTTTTCTTTAAGAAATCATATACCCCAAAATTTTTCTAAAAATTCAGCTCATTTCTTTTGTCCTTTATCTTTATGCTTGCCTTGAAATAATTCATGCCTCACAAATATTTGAAAAGCTTGAAGCCAATTATGAGCCTTCAAGACATCTACAATGGGGTGTGTTAGGTTATTCATAGATATGGCTATTAGGCTAAATCTAGGAAAAGCTGCTTGATATGCCCAGGATCAAATCCTAGCATTTGAGAGCTTTAATTAACAGCTCAGAGTCATCCTATTTGAATGTAGAATTACAACTTACTGTCTGCGCAACAAATGCAGAGGGACTTTGAACTTCTCAGTCCCAGTACATCTAAGCTTCCATTTTGCTAATTTGTCCAACAGCTTAAGTCACAAAACCCTGCCCGGCTCACAGCTGTCCTCTTAAGGCGAGCAGGACCTCATGGGGAGCCCCTGGCCTGCCTGCACTGCCTTTGGCCTGGTGGGGAAAGAGGTGGGTGTGGGGGAGTCCTGAATAGAGACACACCAACTCAGCATTTTAAATTGTGTCTTTCAAATGAGAGGAAACTTAATTCCTCTGTATGGGGAATATAACCAAAATGAAAATGCATCATTGTGCACAAATGAAAAATGATGTAAGATTTATATCAAATAAAATATAAAAAGATAAAAAAAGATAAAAAATCAGAAGCAAAAAACAATTAAAATGAGAGGAATCTTAACTATATCTTATTAAGTGAAAGAAGCCAATCGAGAAAGCTACATGCTGTATGATTCCAACTATATGATGTTCTGGAAAACGGGAAACTGTGAAGAAGATGATAAAAAAAAAAGATCAGTGGTAGTCAGGGGCTGGAGTTGAGTGGGATGAGTAGGCAGAGCACAGAGGAGTCTTAGGACAGTGAAAATCGCTGCTTGATACTGTCATTGTGGGTGCATGTCGTTACACGTTTGCCTGAACCCATAGAATCTCTAAAACCAAGAGTGAGCCATAATGTCAGCTGTGGCCTCTGGGTGATGATGTGTCCCTGTAGGTCCATCATTACAACACATGCACCACTCTGGTGGGGGGCGGAGAGGTGTTGATAATGGGGGGCTGTGCATATGTGGGGGCAGAGGATAGATGGGAAAACGCTGTATATTCCTCTCAGTTTTGCTGTGAACTTAAAACTGCCCTAAGATATAAAATCTTAAGAAATATATTTTAGAGGAGTTACCTTCTTTAGTCTCCATGCAGTTCCTTGCCGTTCTCATAGTTGATGACAGTCTCTCTGCCCAGGACGTCTTTTATTAGAATGCTGGGCAGCTCTCAGATTTCCACTTGTGGTGAGTGAGGGCTTCAGGGTTAAAAACCTAAAGTCTAAAAGGAGAGAAAGCATGAGGTATCTGCTACTCATTCATAAAAGGGGAAGGAACAGGCAGGTTAGGGACAGAAGTGGGCCCCCGTCACATAGCTGTTCATCATGAGACATGAGGGCACATCTGTTAAGGATGGGCTCCGTGTGTTTTGAAGAATTTGCATTTTCATTTGTGTTGAAATGAGACAGGTAACCCCCTCTAGATCCTGTTACTCTTCTCCCGTTTTACTGACACTCCTCTTGATGTCCTAGGACAAGCAGGGAATACCGTGGTGGCTGGGACTGAGCTACAAAGGCATCTTCCAGTACGACTACCATGATAAGGTGAAGCCCAGGAAGGTGAGTGCCTTTCCTTTGTGACTGTTGGACTGACAGGAGGGGGTGGGAGAAGTCATGTGTGTACCCTCCCTCTGAGGGCCCCAGCTCACAAACCCCCCCTAATTTGGATGTATATAAATTACTCTGCAGTAATCCAGTCTAGGCGTTCCTGGGTATTTTCTTTTTCCCAATCACTAAGGAAACCTAAGCTGTTAGTATTTAAGGTAAGAAGTCTGGCTGTGCCCTTGAGAAGAAGGTGGGTGAAAGAGCTTTGAGGGGTTCTGTGCGCTTGGGAAAGTTCAGTAACATCCCTCTTGAGTAGTGAGGCTGATCTGAGTTCTCTCGAAGACTTGTGTGTGGTTTTTTGTGTGTATTTTTTTATTTTCTTTTTTTTTTTTTTTTTTGGAGGGCTGTGGCTGAAAGGAAAGCTCGCAGGTCAAAAAGAAGTGAAAAAAAAAATAGTGACAGGCATTCCTGCAAATGCAGTAAATATTTTATGGCATATTAGAAGTGACCAGAAATCTGGGAAGAATAAAGACACTTGCCAAAGAGAGAGGAAAGCAGAGAGGGCTCTGCAGTCTCTGTAAACACAAAACAGAATGTTCGAAGGGACGCAGTGCTTGAATTTTCTGTTTTCATTTACACACATTTTTCAGACCAGAACAAATTGAAAAATTATAATGGAAAAATCTCTCTGAGGCAAGTGCTGTCATTTCGGTCGTCTGGCAGAGAGCAGGGGAGAGATGGCATGCAGCTCAAACCCTGGGAGACAGATGAGGAGTCTACCAAAACCACACTGGCAGGGAGAGACAAGCAGCTAAGTCCCTGGTGTCGTTCCAGAGTGCTTTCCAGGCTGCATTATCCATGAGCCGGTGGAGACCCACACTCCATATCTGAGCTTTCCTGCTCTATCCAGTTAACATCTGCCATTACCCAGCTTCTTCATTAAATGGGTAGAAAAGACATCCTTGCGGCAGGGAGTTTTCACTCCACTGATCAGTCAGTTAAATTCTAAGCCAGGACACTGATCCGCTGATGGAGAAGCGCTGCCTCGACAGAGATGCGGCAGGAACCTGGCTCTGTGGGTGGGTGGCGTGTATGACCCTCTCTCTGCCCCCACTCCACCCCTCCAGTTCCCATTCATATGCTGCAAGACAGAAATTGGCCTTCACGTTCTTCTTTTGTCCTTTGTTTTCTTGGTCACAGAGTCCCTACTTCTCCTCATTGCCTCCTCCTTCCTGTTCCTCCTCTGCTCCTCTTCCCATATGGCCTTCCCCAGCTTTCTCTCCACTCCCTCCACTCGTCCATAGGCACTGTCCTCTCTTTTCAACCTGCCTGACCTTTTTTTCTGCTTACGAGTACCAAGAATAGTCCAGACTCTTTAACAGAATCATGGTGACCGATGACCAGATCCAGTTCTTTACTTCCATTTTGGTAAAAGACCGAGGCCAACGTGGGTAATTGGCAGTGGAGGACATTAAAATCCAGCAGGTGAAAAACGTGGTAACAAGTATGCATGTGTGTTCAATTTATTTTACTAGTATTTTAAATGTCGCTTTATTTCTCTAATGGAGGGGTTAATGAACGTTGACGATTCAGTAGCTCTCCTGCCCACCTGTGACTATGCAGTATTTCTTCGCATAAATGTTTTCCCTTTGCAAAGCAGCAGCAGCTCTTTCTGCCCTCTTGTGTCTGTGCAAGGCCTTCTCCTCCTGCCCTTTTCCTAGTAATCCTGTCCTTTTAAAGTGTAAAAAAGAATAACAACACTTGATATGCAGTGAGTCCTCAGCTAACATCATCCATAGGTTCTTGGAAACTCAGATTTTAAGCAAAACAACATGTAAGGAAATCAGGTCTTTGAGTGATGTCATTTTGGTCAATATAATCTGGGCTTTCTTCTCATCAGTGTTATCGCAAAACAACATTATCTGAGGACCCACTGCACCTAAAATGCAGGGATGACATACTCCAAGGGCTCAGTGAATTGTAACTTTTCCTTTGAGACTCTAAAGTGGGTTTCATATTAAGGAAAAATGCAAACCAAAGGTCGGCATAATTAGCTATTGAATAAGAATTTCCTCTCACTTGTGGAACTTATCCAGGTCTGCAAATGAAAAATGATAAAAGGTCAGTGTGTTTATTCAGAGTACTGACTACTCAAATTGATTTGCTGTTTAAAGTAAATGAGGGGCTTCCCTGGTGGTGCAGGGGATTAAGATGCAATCTATGAAGCTATCCACAGCCACTGCAGCACAAGTTCAATCCCTGGCCAGGGAGCTTACCCACACAGCTCAGCAGACCTCGCGCCTGACTCACCCGCTGCTCCCCTCAGCAGCGTATTTCAATCAGTCTGCCTGTTCTGCTCCCCACTCTGTCTCTGGTGAGTCCTCTCACCCGCCACACCTCTGGCCTGTACCCCAGTTCTCATATGCATAAATAAATAAATCTTTAAAAAAAAATAAAAATATAAAAAAAAGTAAGTGATGCTTCTGTGACCTCTGAGGAGGTAGTTGGAATTCTGCAGTTGTGTTACAAATTGAGAGAGACAACCAAATCATCAGAATTTCCAGTCTATTATTTAAAAAAATAAAAGTGTACTACATTCCTGTGATGTGCCAGGCAGACCACAGGATGCTGAGATAAAAAAGACACATCATATCCTCAAGGCCGGCTTTTTTTTTTTTTTAGGAGAGAAGATGTGGGGGTGGGGGTTGGAATGTGTGATTGTACATCAGTGATCCAAGTACTACAGCAGAGGTCTGTGTGGGGGTCGGGGTGAATGAAAGGAGAGTCATCAACTGGCTTTGAGAAGGAGAGAAAGAGTTTCACAGGCAGCAAAGCCGGGCTGGGGTCTCACAGAGAGGACAGCAGTTTTGCAGGTGGACTAATGCACGGAGAGGCACACAGGCTGAGAGGCCAGTGCACGCGAACTCACAGTGATGGAGAGTGTAGCAGTGTGGTGGGGACGTGCACAGCCCTGTGGGGGTTGGAACAAGGGGAGGGGAGCAGCTGGAGAGGAGGCCAGGCCAGCTCACAGAGCTGGCTGGCTTCACTAAGGATTTCACC